GTTTTTAACTAAATAAAAATAACTGCTTTATTTATTTAGAAGCAGGGTAATTAAAATTTCATTTTTGTATTGTAATTTTTATAATTTTTATTTTATTAATCAAGATACAACGCCCACAAAATAATATTCAGTGTTGGGCTGCCGAATCTCCGAACGCGTGCATGTTGAGGGGCGAGCTGAGATATAGTACTATAATGTCTTCAGCCGTTTGCAACAAAACTTTATAGTAAACATGTATTTTAATCTAAAAACATCTAAAAAAAACATGTATTTAATTAAAAAGATCAATAAATGTGTTAAAATGTCTTTTAACAAATTAAATCATAAAATATATGAAAATAAACTAATATCAATAAATATAAAATTTATATATAAAAATACACAAATTCTGCCATACTAAAAACACATCTTTTATTTAAAAAATAAATATATATTTTAAAATGTTTTAATGAATTAAATCATAAAATATATGAAAATAAATATCAATAAATACTATCTATAAATAATTGTTTAACATTTTTGAAATGAATTCATTAATTTATTTTACATTTTGTGATATGTATTTATTGCAATATTTCATGAAATGTGTATATGATAGATAGATAGATAGATAGATAGATAGAGATTTATTAATATAGCTCTAAAATTAAATAAATCAATGAAATCAATCAATAAATAACTAATTAACTGGACTTGATATAAATATACAATAAGATTGATATAAATGAATACGTAATGAATTACTTATTTACTTATCTTTATCAGTGGAAAAGTTATCTCAGAGGAGAAGAAAGTTATTATATTTTGGTACAAAATGATGAAAAAATTATTTTTAGAGTAATTAAAAGACATTTTAACAAGTTAAATAGTACAATTTGATTTTCATATGGACTATACAACATATTTATTCAAGTAAAAAAGGTGGACAGCAAAGATGTGTGCAAGCTTATTCAAACACACACACACAGACATACTACAATCTAACACACACACTGAAGAAGTGAGTCATTGGAGGCTGGCGGTCATGTGTGTGTGAGTTATCTGCTGTAAGCTGAGCTCTGACATTTATTTGTTAATGTAAGGCCTACTGGTGTTTTTCACTCATAATCGCTTAATTAGTTTCTAGCATGCAGCCACACACAGGGTCCTTATTCCAGATGTTTGCTTTGGCAGGCCTGGCTGAAGAGGCCACTGAAGCATGTGGGCAGACGCACACATGTACACACACACAGACGTATTTGACCGCATACACATGCGCTCCAAAGCTAGCGAGCTAGTGCTCTAAACTACATTTTTGTGCATCAAAAGCACCTATGATGTCCAAAAACACTCTAACGAGCACATTCTGCCATATTCAACAAATTTGTTTAACGGAAATGGCTAAAATTAACATACACATGATGATTGTTGTATTTTCAAATGCACATGTTAAATATTAGCGCAAATGTTTATGTACGTTTGTATGCGTGTGGATTTTAGGTATGGTGCATTATGTAAAAGTGACAGCGAAATTTGGCCCATCAGTGAATTCACAGTGACCATTTATATGTTGCGTTTCAGCTGTGCACACACACACATCCAAACATACACACATCTGTCCACACACACAGGGTGCCACGCAGTGCGGTTTTACATGGGGGAGCAGTATGTGTGTGCGACTGGCCTGTAGGCTGAGCGGGTGGCAGAGGGAGAAGGTTCCAGGTGGACACACATATGCTGGAAGCTTGTGTAGCTCAGACTCCTGCAGCCTCTTCGAACGCTCAGCCAACACATCAATCTCTGCCTCGGCTGATTAATTAAGACTCAGAGTGAAGGAGAGAGAGAGTGTGTGCGTGTGTGTCTTTCCAGTGCATACCTGCTAGAAGAAGTGCTGGGTAGGGGGCGCCTCATGGCCCCAGGGCTCATACTGTAGTAGGAAGAGCTGTCCAAGTCTGCCAACGAAAAGTTGGGCCCCGTCCCTGCCGCGATGGGGGCTGCCACACACAGAAAAGAGAACAAATATCAATACCTGAGAACAAAAACAGTCTTAAGCATCACATTTTGAAGCAGTTCATCTTCATTTTCATGGCTGAAGTACAAGTAAAGTTTGAGTTGGTTCACTTGACTGCCATTTTGGCTGTGTAACAAGCTCACTTTTTAATTTGAAAACAGCAATAAAATCTGACAACTGTATCATAAACATTGCTGATTTAGCTCACGCTATACACATTTTCATGTTAGTCCAGCTAAAAAAAAAATAGAACAATAGAATGATAAATAAAAAGATAAAACGATAGATAGATAGATAAAAAGATAGAACGATAGATAGATAGATAGATAGATAGATAAAAAAAGCTAATATTATGTACAATTCTTCTTCCTGTCATTCAAATTCTACTTCCCATTTGGTGTGTTCAATTAAATTAAATTAAATTAAATTCAAACTTTTTATTTTTTCAACAAAAGAAAAAAATAAGTTAACTGACATTCGCTTATCTTACTGAAACACTTGTGCTAGTAACAAAACTTTCCTCCCTGAGCGAGTCGCCTCAAGCTGCAAATCCCCCCGTGCCCCTTTCTGTAGGTCATCGGTGAGCAATGCTCTATCAAACGCCTTTGTCATACAGTACATAAAGCCGTGATGCCTCTTTATATTCATGGTGACTGAGACCACTATTTTTTGATGAGGACAGCACGAATGTGTAAGAGAGCGGCCCTGGTCCTGCATACCTAATAGGCCGGGCCCAAGCGGAGAGAGAGAGAGAGATGTATGTATGTGGGGGGTGGGGGGGTGGAGTTGGGCGGACGACAGCGTGGAAGATTGTGATAGACACGGTAATGGGCTGCCTAATTAACATTGGAAGAGGACACGGCTAAAGGGGCAAGTTGGACCAAGGGAGGGAGAGAGAGCCAGTGCACTAGCCAACAGCTAAAAGTTGGACACGTAGGAAGTGAGAAAGGAAGTGCTATAATTTCTGAGTCATCTCTTAATGTTAACTTTTTTTTGGAGGGGGGTGGGCGGTCCTTCGCTCTAATAGAAGTGACAGCGCGGGTTATTTATGACGAGCAGTAAAGCCGGCTGCATTTGCATGGCTAATAGTAGGATGTGAAGTAATTTGTGTGAGAGCTAACCTGGGCACCGGGCTGCAGTAACTCAGCCGGCCCTTGATGCGCACACACATACACACAAACGAGCCCTCGCGCTGAGAGCGGCCGGCCCTGCTGCTGCAGTTTGGGTAGAAAAATGACCACACTGCAGTCTGTCTGACTGGAATGGAAATCAATCATAAAGGTAATCCGCAGTCTCTACCTCTTAAAGGCTTTATCAAGTGCTTTCGCTTGGAGGATTCCAAATGAAGCCTGTGGCTATCAGGCCGGCATTGATCTCTCTCTCTCTCTTCTCTCCTTCCCCTTCTGTTCTCTCTCTCTCTGATCTTTACTGCTTTACCTTTCAAGTTGCTGGGCGCAAAGTACATTAGCAAAATGTTTCAATCTATTCTATTAACTTAGTGCAGAGGAATGGCAGTGCAGCCAGTGGGTTTACTTAGCTGTGCATCTGTGACAAAAAATGGGCCGCATTTCAAGTTAGCTAAACCTGACAAAAGTGGTTAAACTTAATTAGTTGACTGCAAAAGAAATCTGCCTAAAAATAGTCAAAAACGACATTAAATTTTAAAAAATGTATATCTCCAATATTGACCGTTAACTGATGTGGAACCGATATATCGTCCATCACTGCGATTTAACCCTCTGGGGTCAAAGTCCGCACTGGTGTGTTTTGTCACTTTCTTTTCTTGATGACTGCGAAAATAACTAAAAATACTCTGTCATCTTCTAAACATATAGTAAGTTTTGTAGAAAGCAAGGTAAAAGTATTGTAAAAGAGAACCAGGCAAACAGGTTTCAGACTAGAGGCCGGCAAGTTACGGGAAGTTTGTTGTCGGACAGCAAAGTGACCGAGTCTACTGGATGTGTTGGAGGTTTTTTGGTGTAGTCTCTTGTCTCAAGGGTTGACAATCCCTCTTAACATACACACACACAGACATACTCCTCCCCTTCACCCAAACACTGGCCGCTAAAGCATCTACAAAAGCTGGGGAGGCTATTCATTTGAAAAGAGCAGGGGGAGGAGGAAGAGAAAGAGAGAGGAGAAAAAAAATCGGCTTTTGTTCAGGCCGGATTTTCAAATTGAAGCATTTGACAACAAAGGCAGCAGCAATCAACTTCAAAACCCTGGACGTCTGTTCACCCCGTCTTCCCCCCGCCTTACTCCTCATCGCTTTATTGAGCGAGAGGACCGTGGCGTGATGGGATCTCATCTAGAGCTGGTCTGAAGTTGGTGAGCTTTGACAGGTCTTCGTTGGGGTTTTCTGCTGGATCAGCTCCTGTGAGGATATAGACCTACAGCATAGGTCCAGAGTTCTCAGTCTGGAGAAGAGGGTTCGCATGGGGCTAGACCTTACACCTTCACTGTGTAGTTTCCCATCAAGCCAAATGGCAGAAGGAACTTCGCTGGTGAAGTCCGCATGTCGGTGTCCAGTTGAGGAAGGTCAAGGAGTAGTCCTGGACTCAGCATATTACTACTCCTGGTAAAAACACTGTGAAGAAGAGCTGATAATCAGCAGGTTGCTGGTTTACCACCTTGCCGGTTTGACTTGAAGAATTAGTTCACCCAAAAATCACATAATTTCCTCACCTTTCTTTCAAGTCATTCCAAACCTGTAGCTGGATGAAAAACTAGACATTTCTTCAGCATATCTTTTTTGGTGTTCTACAGAAGGAACAAATGTTTGGATTGACACAAGCGTGAGGAAATTTGAACAAAATCAACATATTGGTGGCATTCCTACTTTTACAGCATATGTATTTTTATTGTAGTGAAAATGTAGGCCATTTTATGGCAAGCTACTGTTGATAAGATTGCATGCATTTCACTGCAGATGGCACTGCCCACTGGCAGGCCTTGGCCCAGTGTTGGCACAGTGTTGACAAGACTGGTGGGCGTAACCCCACCAGTGCTGCTCGGCAGTGTCTCTGCCACAGCGGCCTGCTCTCCTACTCCATAATTCATCCGCTCCCCCTGTTCGGTCATATGGCTAAATGGTGCGTGCCAGTGCCCGGCCTTCACCCAGGGATTTCCAGGTGTCCCTGTCCCTGGATCACGCTGCCTTGCTGCTTGCCAACATTTCTGCGAGGCTCTTGCAGGTGGACTAATAACAATAACCTCATCCTAATCCTGTATCCTCTCCTGTCTCTTCTGTAGCCCTCGCAATCTCCTCTGGAGAGGCTCTGAGTGGGCGTCAGCAACAGAAAAACTGGCTCACGTACAAGTCCTCTTGCTCACCTGAGCTTGATGGCGTGCCAAGCTGTGGCGTGACAGTGTCCGACTTCATACGGGGGCCAGCTGTAGAGAAAAACAAACTCGTGGCTCTTCCCGGGAACGTTTAAGAACCCTGCAAGACTCGAGAAGTTAGAAGGGAATAGCTGATGAAGGAGGAGCCGGGGAGGGAGGAGGATATGGAAAGGCGGACCCAATCTCCGAAATTACCCCAGCTTGGTATCGACTGGCCAATTATGTTGAGTTCCATTTACAAAAATTTAGCTGTAGCGGCTAACTTTATGGAGACTTTCATTTCGCTCTCCCCCACTACCGACAGCCCCTCCTCCTCTCTCTCGTTCTCTTCCTCTCCTTTTTTGTGTGGTGCTTTAATAGGATATTGATCGACAGAAGCAGATTCGATTGGGCTGCCACTGAATTGTGTAATGGGTGCACAAAGCCAAGGTCATAGTGTATAGTCAGGGAAGAGCTAAGGCAGCCCGTTGTCCATTCAATATCACGACCTTTCATCTTCCGAACGGGCACGAGCCTGCACTCAACCCCTTAAATAAATCTGCCAGATGCTCCCACACAGAAGCTCCATCGGAACTCCTCTGGGCAATTCATACGCCACTTCAGTACACCAGATTACCCTCTTCTACCCATCTTCCAATCAACATCTCGGTGCCTTCCACAAGAAGCTACCAAAGTCATGAGTGTGCATTCATACAGCACTTTAATTCACAGTCACTCTATAGGGAGCAATCCTGTTAGAGGACTTATGCTAACTGTGGGCTTTGCTGACTGCTGAACTTCTTAGATTGTATTGGCCATTAAGGAAGGAAAGCGGTTGACGCAGGAGGGTGAGATTCTGTCAACTCTCCGTTCCGTAGAGAGTGGAAGACGAGGCCTCGCCAGGTGATCAGTGGACTATTGTTGTGGATTAACGCAAAATTCAGAATTGAAGAACTGGCTCAATTTCAATTCATGAGTGTGAATTTGAATGAATTGGCCAAGTCTCAGAAACTTGAATTGGGGATTTATAGAATTGAAAGATATTCAACAAAGGAGATGCATTCTGGAAAATCTATCTATCTAGACATTTTTAAAACTTTCAAGCAAGCCAGCATTCAAAGTTTGTGTTGAGAACTTTTGCAGAAAGGGTAAACGTCACTAAAATCCTATTCCTGTTCAACTTCCGTTGGGGCTTAAGAGTAATATGCTCTACAGACCAACATTGGCAACCCCCTGCCGACTAAGAGCCACTGGACTGTGGAGAGGAGAGAAGAATAAAGAGAACGATAGAAAAAAGAGAGCAGAACACTTTGATTTGAATTGAACATCCAGCATATGCCACCCAGCATTTGCTTTTCTTCTCAGTGTGTCACAGATGTTAGGATAAAAGCCGATCTCTCCGCAGAGCTGGATCAATTATGCATATTCCTTAATCTTGTTACCATCATACGCCAGGAGTTCTGATGCAGCACAGTACTGGCTGAGTTTTAATATCTCTGTCTTCCTCTCTCTCCTGATACCTTTCATCATTTTCCGCATCCTTTTGCATCGCCTCACACACGCATGCTGGACTCACGTTGACCCGTAAGTTTCCTTCCGCCCGTCTGCTGTCATGTCGCCAGAATGTGGTGGCACCCAAATGTTTGTTCTCTCCAGACGCTGTCTTTGCATTGGCAGGCACTTTGAGGGTTTTTGAAGGCAGACTGCGAGGTGAGACCACGGTGGGCTCTTTGCCCAGGCCCCATGACACCCTCTTCTCCTCTCCTTCGCCCGGGATTAGGTCACGAAGGCGTGTGATCAATGCACCTTTGATCAGAAGGCTCCAGCGAGTGCTGACAGGCGCTTTGGATCGGCTATTGTTAGCGGGTATCGACAGGCACGTATGGATCGCGCTGCGCTCTGTCACTCTCCACCGTGAACGTTTGCAATTTTTAAAGGTCACGTTTTTTACTCTCATCCCATCCTCCCAGCCTCCTCTGGAAAGTCTACTTTTCTTCTTCTGCATTCTGCCTTATTGCTCTATCAATCTGGGAATGACTCGATTGTTTCCTCAAGTTGTGAAAATTCTCGCTATCTTCTCTTTATTAATAAATTTGAACACCAAACATTTAACTTCTGTAATACTGCATCTGCAATAAAAGTACAACTTATTTAGGGAAAACGGCTTATAAAAGAAACACTGTCTAAAAAAGACTGCACAAAAAAACTTTAGAGAGTACAAGTACTGTTGAACCACACTGCAATGAAGCACTTTCAGCTGACTGCTGCATTTCGCTGGCGTTTCGATTTCTAATGAGTGGAGGGATAGTGGATTCAGCCCATTGTTCTGAAAACAGCGCTGAGAAACCAGAGAAGCTTTCCTCCAGCACACTGGTTAATCACTAGCTTCATCCTACCTTTGGGCTGAATTTAAGGTGCTTGAACTAGGATGCTTCAGATGTTGCGGTTTTTTTGTGCTGCTGGCCTTTATATACTAGGGTGTAACAAGTCTAAGAAAACTTATGGCACTAAATCATGCCACGTTTAAGGTTGTGTAAGGGTCACAATCTTAAACGTGGATCGTAAGAAATCTTTAAATGACGATACATTTATATGAGAATCAACACTGCATATTAAGTATTGTTTTCAAATAATGTATCATTAATATATATATCGGCCAGTGACACTACTAATTTTTGTTAATAAAAAAGTTATGTAACATTAAGTTAATGTTAAGTTAAATAATGAAATATTATTACTTAATAAATATATTTTTAGGGGGAGTTGCACCACATTACGTTTATTTTATTCAGAATTTTAAAATATGTTCATGAAATATGTTCATCATTTATTAACTGCATTTTTAATGTATTTTTGGTGTCATGTCATTTACCCATATTTTTAAAACTACACTCATATTAAAGACATACTGAATGGAAAAAGGTATTAATATCTCATGCATTGTTGCTTCTTGACTAAATTTATCCCGTTTTAAGGACTTTCTGATAACTGTAAAATAAGCCCAAAAAGTTTTTTGCAGTGGGCAGGGAGTTGTAGAGATCTTACTCTGTGAGACTCGCACAAGCTCAGACACGGTGAAGACACCTGATGTGACGAAACTGTCCTGGAAGCCAAGGTGCCCTAAAAGAAAAAAAGAAAAAAAAGTAGAAAAACTGTTATTGGAATGAACATGACAAAATACAGAGGAATGGCAGCGTTTATGTCAACAACACACTCACACACACACACACACACACACACAGTCCCAGTGGGGAAGGGAATAGGGAGTATTTAGAGTGACACTGAGGGTAGAGAACATCTGGATTTGGTCCCATGAGTGTCTGCAGTACTGTGGGGCAGAGGCTCTTTGCAGTGCGGCGCACACACATAAACAAGGAGCTACATAGGAAAGCATGATTATATATGTTTTTACATATGATGTGTGGTGAAATTTCAGTCTAACACATTCTTTGTGCGGCAGGCAGAAATCAGTTGCCTCTTCCAGCAGACAGACAGACCACAATTACTGTGTTCATTGTGCTGACTACGGCTGACCCAGGACCTGCCACACATCCTGCGGGCTGCTGCTGTGCTGGAGGAGCCCATATCAGCCTCAGATTCAACTACAGACAAAACTTACTACCATCCAACACCACAGAATCAAAACATGCAGTCAGTGTGGACTGCATTTCCCATAATGACCTGCTCTTACATATTGTGTGAAAAATTGCTGATATGGCAAAATTAATCATCACAAGTTAGACATAATCTTATGATATGGTACATACAGAATGCACTAGTTTAGAAGTTAAAGGGGTCATATGATGCGATTTCAATTTTTCCTTTCTCTTTGGAGTGTTACAAGCTCTTGGTGCATAAAGAAGATCTGTAAAGTTGCAAAGACTAAAGTCTCAAATCCAAAGAGATATTCTTTATAAAAGTTAAGAGTCAACCACGCCTACCTAAAACGGCTCGTTCTAACACACCCCACATGTCTACGTCACGATGTGAGAAGATTTGCATAACGCCGCCCAAACGTTCACGCAAAGAAAGAAGGCGTAACTTAAAAATATTTGGCTGCACAACTGTTGATAATTCTAATAATAAATCAGCATATTAGAATGATTTCTGAAGATCACTGATCACAAATGCAGACATGGTTTTATGTTTACGCGGCGCGATGCAACGCAACGTGTAAAAAGACAGTATAAGTCATTATAATCTGTAATTATGTCCCCACTGGATGCAACGAATCTGCAACGAAACGATGCTCGTTTATAATGGGTTTTCATGTTTTTGTCTCGTCACTCCGGCTTGACGGGGCATCATCACAATATGGCAAGGGGCGTAACATTTTCGTCACGCGCTTGATGTATTCGGCCAATCATAACGCACTGGATAGCTGGCCAATCACAGCACACCTTGCTTTTCAGACCGATGAGCTTGTAAAAATCGACGCGTTTCAGAAAGGCGGGGCATAGAGGAGAAACAATAATGTACAGTATGTGGAAAATAATGTGTTTTTTTAACCTTAAACCGCATAAACACATTTTATTACACCAAATACACAAAATAATGTTCTTTTTAGCAACATAATATGACCCCTTTAATAGATTGCAACAGAAATGTGGCAGTTGCGAAAGTGAGAACTATAAGATAATATTGTGCAAACAAACAAATAAATAAACAAATAACGGAAAATAAGTTGCACTCAAAAGTCATTGTTGAGAAAAAACAAATAATTTGTATAGGTGTGTAGATAAAAATTTACATTAAATACTAGTAAATAAAAAATGTTTACAAACACTTTAGAGTGTATTTTATTTGTCCTCACTCAACAAAAATTAGCATAAAACAAACAAATTATTGCATTACAAATTATAAACAAAATTTTTTTTTATAAATGGCAAGCCTAAACTAATTTATTTAGAGTGAAACTGAAACTATATAAAATATATATATATACATTTTTAGAAAACAAAAAATAGCATGTATATATTAATTATATATTCATTTTTGAATAATTTCAAATGTTCTTGATAATTTCTGCTGTGACAAAAAAAGCTAGTTTTTATTTAAACTTATTACATCCTCAATGACAAGAACAAGAACTCGGCAAATGATCAAACTCAACACCAGCTCACATTATGTAAATAAATGCAAAACATAAGAATCTTAAAAGTTTTATTTACAAGACACTGCATTGCTTGCCTAGGTTCCTTCTCCAGGGAAAAAAAAATATATGTATAGAGGTGGGGTGACAAGACGAATCTCAAGAAGAAGTGATGTAGCTATTAAACGACTTCCTGCGCTGCTCGGTGGCTGGCGAGCTATAAAACCAACAATAGAAATGAGTTTAGTCTTGACTGGCTGGATGACGAGACGTATAGCATGGACAGGCAGAATAATAAATAATAAAAACAGAGAGAGAGAAGAGAAGGAGAGAGAGGGACAGAGGGAGGGGTAATATCTACGGCTCATTGCAAGAGAAAGTGCTGACATGAGCTAAAAGACTGCAGACCCGGAGAGCATTCCTGCACAGATGCCCCTGAGATTGAGAAGAAGTGAGATAGAGTTTGTTCGGGGAAGTATCAGAAGGAGGGGAGACGTATGTTAGAGGGCATGTGGCAGGAAGTCAAGGTAGATTACAAAATGACAACGCGACAAGGACAGTGGACTACAGGGTCGAGAGCGAGAAAGGCAAAAAGTCCAAATTTCCACACAGCTGTACATACTGTGAAACAACAATAATACCGAGCACAAGTGAGGTGCACCATTACTTGGAAATAGAGGGATGACGCAATGGAGCTGAGGAGGGAGAGAGCGGGCGAGCGAAGGAACCTTCGTCACTAGAATTCCAGTATAGGGAGCATATGCACCCGGAGTTCAGCGAGGGCATTTCCATGAGTGCCTCATATAGGGAGACAGGGGCGAGGGAAGGGGCAGGGCTTCTATATCTCAACACGGATAATCACTCCCAGCTGTGTCCACTGTAGCACCGCACACACATGTAGGGAGGGGCCAGGGTTCGCCTTTCACAGCAGCACCGAGACCTCAACAAGCCTCCAAGAGTGCCGTGTGGAACTACACTGGGTCTCGGGACACAGTATCTGGGTAGTTGACAAAAAACAACTTTTTTATTCAACATCAAGACTTTAGGTGAATGTATCAAGGATATTGTGTATATTTTAGGTGCTTTGGCCATTATCCCACTTTTTAACGAACTTTTTGCTTCTTTAAACGAGTAAACAAAAATATACAAAGAGGTCTTGTTTTTAGTTGATTAGTAAGTGAAAACTGATTGTGAAAACTATGTTATGTACCAGAATAGAGCCATGTGACGTAAATGAGAGTTAGCAATAACAATAGTTAAATTGCTATTTGTGTAAACTGCCATTGGTGGCCTTGGTGATGTCATCAGAGATGGAAAGTCGTTTAAGGGGCGGAGCAAGTTACTTAAATCTGATTAAGAATTACGAAGAGTGTTTTGTTTTTTCCTCAGAATAACATGCACTGATTAGTGTGAATGTGTATTAAGAAATCCGGAATGAGTAAAACATGATATTCAATGAGAAAAAAGGGGCGGTGCTTGATTGTAATCGATCAGTAAATGATTGGATTGTGAAAACTGTGTGTTAAGTACCAGAATGGAGTCATGTAACATGAATGAGAGTTAGCAAAAACAACTGTTAAATTGCTATTTGTGTAAACTGCCATTGACCTTGATGACGTCATCAGAGATGGAAAGTCGTTTAAGAGGCGGAGCAAGTTACTTAATTCTGATTAAGAATTACGAAGAGTGTTTTTTTCCCCTCAGAATAACATGCACTGATCAGGAATGTGTATTAAGAAATCAGGAATGAGTGAAACATGATATTCAATAAAAAAAGGGGTGGTGCTTGATTTTATCCATCAAGAACTGAATAGGGAAAAGTGTGCATTATGAATCAGAATGAAGCCAGATGTGAAAGTTAGCTAAAACTGGCTGAATTGCTATTTGTTTATATTATCTAATATAAAGCATGGCCTTGGTGATGTCAGAGATGGAAAGTCGTTTGAGAGGCGGAAAAATGTATTTTATTTTGATTAAAAATTATGAAGATTGTTTTTTTTTCTCAGATAAACATCAGATTAACACCGATAAGGAATCAGTATTAAGAAATCAGGAATGAGTAAAAAAGATATTCAATGGGAAAAGGGGTGGCCCTTGATTTTTTTGGTCAGGAAGTGATTGGATAGAACAATGATTTGCTAAAACAATGGCTGAATTGCTATCTGTTTATATTATCTAACACAACACACGGCCTTGGCGATACCATCAGAGACTAGAAGTTGTTTAAGAGGCTGAGCACGTTGATGATTGGATAGTGAATAGGACTGCATTATATTGGAACTCACATTGCGATATTTTGTTTTTCTGCAATATATATTGCGATATGAAAAAAAACAACACTTGAATAGCACTATTTGGAAAAAAAATCAATGATTGGGGTGATTTTGTAGGTGAGTAAATCAGCATAGAAAATAAACAAATTACAAGCATAGATAAATAGAACAAAGATACAAATGAACAGTGCTTTACTTTTTTCAGGTAAGTCTAACAGTATTCAGGTACAGAAACTGAATAATCAAATGTAAAATATCACGGCAAAGTCTTCACTGTATAAATTAAATCTAAAGCTACAAAATTTTCTCACACATCCATTTTCTTTCACAATTGTTTACCTTCACCTAAGCCATAAGCAACTGTGTTTACAAGGATACTTGCAGAGGCATGCATTTTGACGTAATTTCGCGCGTATGTGTCATTAATAGACGCAGAAGTGAACGGAATTCAGAGTTCACGTGCATCTGCGCGGCTCTCACTGTGTCTACACTGGATGTGAGCTGCGCAGCGCGACGCGACAAAAATACTATAGAACCCATTATAATCAGTGATGCTGTTTACACTGGATGCGGCGCGACACATGACAAATCCCCGACAGTAAACTGATGCCACGTTCTATTTACGACGTACTGACATACAGTTCAAATGATCTGCAAAGGTCACTTTGTCGCGTCCAGTGTAGACAGACTTTAGTTGCGGCGCGGGGCGGCGCGACACAACAGATGTCGCATCCGGTGACACAGTGTCTGTGTGT